TCTGTCCGTATCGTCTATCCAGTACCTGAATACAGTCCGTATCCCATTAATGGAGTGGGCGCGGCTGCGTACGTTACAGCGTAGGATTCGTTGTTGGTGGGATATTTTCAGCTGACTCAAGTTTTATCGTACCTTATATAGACAACGAAAGTGTTGCAGTTGTTCTGAAACTGATTTATCCCTCCGTAGCCGCAGCGCTACGAAGTACGCAGTTACGGACTCTCCATTTCTGGGATATGGACTGTACCTTCCTTCTATTTCGGGATACTGCATTGGCCGAAGAGCTTTAAGCTTAGTATCTGAATCCATGCCAAGATTTAAAGGCAAGTGGCACGATACATCGACGAGGCGTACAGGTCGATATGCTCAGCACGAAAGAATATTGTGATTCTAAGCAGCTGCTGCGTGGCGCCTTTTCCAAGGATAGCGCGTAACCAAGGGTGCAGCATGCAGACCCAGCGCCAAACGCAGCCGCCCGCCCACAAATGGCCGGACAGTCACAATGCTGGTGCTCGGAGGAGAGGAGGGGGGTTGGGGAGGGGGAGTCAAGTGCACTATTAAATGCTATTTATGTTCAACGGTGTATATGTGTCATAGATGAAAATTGTAAGAATTAGTATAAATGCAGTATATAGTGTACAATGTGTGTAGTACAGGTGTATTGTGTTGCGGCAAAGAGGGGCGTGGTTATCTGGGAGCGGGGCATGTAATGGGGTCTACTGTGTGCAATAGCGCTGGGCGCTTCGCGGAGGAAAAAGCAAAGCGGGCGAGTGCTTATCGAAGCGTTCCTACATGGCTATCCGAACATATCTATCAAGGTGGTTGGTGGCACGCTGCCAACGGGAACGGGAAACTCGTTCAAAATTGCTCGTCTAATTTCGTGCAGACAAAAACCTTTTCGAGAGTTTTTGGTCGCTTTACGTTGCTTTTCCGTAATTTTCCTCCACTATGTAGGGCCCCTGCTAGCATTTTCAAGCATCATAGGCATTTAGTTGCCTGCATATGCCTTTACCTTAGCCAGCATTTCAGCAGAAACGACAGTACTGAAAATCGTCCGGTGTGCTGCGTGCTCATACTTTCGAAGTTCGTGTCCTACATTGACATACTCGATTTGCTGACGTGAGTTGTGTTGTGTCTTGTTGAAAAGTTTTTTCTCTCATTCCTGAGATGGTGGTTAAGAATTATAGTCATCTATAAGTGTAATAAAAGTAGTGATTGACAGTCGGAAATTACCTGTTTTTCACGAAATGGCATAGCCGCATAGACCAAACACACTCTTCAGCTATGCGAACGAGTCTTCAGAATATTCTATAGAAAGCATTTCATCGAAAGAATCGTTTTTCTAACGAAGATACATCGGGTAGATACCATATCCCGAAGTAGGGGAGGGAGTGGCTGCGTACCTCATTTGGATGTTGTTGCTGCGCTTTTGGTGAATTATTGCCATCCGGACGCAATTATAACAGCGCCTTTGTCAATCACAGCACAGGATGACAAATGGAGATATTGTAAAAAAAACACATCCTATGCCATGTTTAGGTGAGTACACAGCCACGCCCCACCCATTCCCGGGACATGAAGTGGAACTGTCTCAATGATCGTAGGGAGAATGTTCGTGTAATTTTGCTTCTTCACTTTTCAGGATATTATTACCCAAAAAACCCGAAGCTGACAAAAAGTAAGGTGAAAAAAGTAGGTTCAGCTCACTGTAGTTTAACTGAAACCGGACGAGTACTGGTCGTGTGACAGGGCGTGGCTGGAGCAGGGCAATTCTCCTACCAATTGTAGCGGGTTCAGGAAAATTGTAGCGACATGATTGGTGGAAAAAATCCGCCTTGACTGCGCTCCAACCCGCCTCGCATCGCTCCTATCGTTTGCAGGGATAATGACTGTATACCTTCGATGATTTCTCTTTCAGATGTCCCAGAGCGTTGGAGCACTATTACCTACAGCTGAAAGACAACTTCCTCGACCAATGGGCAAGCCGTCATAGTGTTTCGGAAGAAAGATGCTGGGAGATGGCAGCGTTGGCTCTGAAAGTTGACAAAGGGAACAATCCTGGCGGGTAAGCAGCTTCCCATTGCAGAATTAAGTTATCAAAACAGTGAAAGAGTTCCTGATTTCCGTGCCAATCCTAGCTCCATCTCTGTGTTCAGCTACTTTCGAGCAGAACAGTACTTCCCCATATGGGTGATTGATGTCCGAGGCCTAGAATACGTCCGAAAGTACATGCCAGCTGCATCGGAAGATCTGAAGGAAATGAGCCGAGTCGAAGCCATGATGAAGTTTGCTTTCGAAGCAAGCCGGTCAGTGCTCTTGATAAACTTTATCAGTTTCTCTTTACCATTAGTTCTTTCCCCTCATGGGAGTTTTCTTCTTAAGGTCTCCTTTCGCCCTGAACTGCCACCTGTACGGTCTGCGACGACACAAAATGGACACTGTCGATAACGCCGTGCTCGGAATCAATGCAAAGTAGGAACTCATTCTGCATTAAGAGCTTCTGCCCTCTTTTTCAACTTCTTACCGTTCATGCCATGTCTAGTCCTTACACGCACAGTATTTACTTTAATGACTTCATGGAAATATATATCTTTTGGCAGTCAAGGGCTAGGGTGGCCACATGATCTCCTTGGCCAATCTCGTTTGATAGGTCGTTAGGACTGATATTTGAACTCCTACCGCTGTTCAACGTTGTTATTACACTCCCCTGAAATGCGTATGATTTTATCCTCTTTCTTCCCTTTACTACTAGAATTGCCCTTCAACTTACTGGCGACTAAGGCCTACAATGCATTATTACAATAATCTAGAGTCACCGCGACCAAAGACTTGCTTCAAAAGCCGACTACGCCCCCCATCTCGAGGCGGCTATTGTCATCAAAAACAATTTACGACGGTGTATAATTTTTCATAGCTTAGGCAAGGTTCATACTTCGTGATTCGAGCCGCAATTTCGAAAATTTCACGGATACATAGCTAAAGGTACTACCTTCCAAATGGTATAGTAGCCCGCTGCCTATCCCCTTTGCTTTTCTGCCATTCCTCTATATGTCTCCATTTTTTGTATGGGATGACCTACTAAGTAAGACTCACTGCTACTCTCACGCTTTCAGCCTGTGGTACCTGGGTAATCATTCATAGAGCGGAACCACCACTGGCTATTTTTTATTCCAAAAATCCGGTTTTCTTTTTGGAATTAGTTGTTCATTGCGTGACATTACAGTCATTTTCTTATAATTTAGTATTGTTCAAGAACTTTGAGAAATACATGCACTTCGGTACTCGACAAGTTCAGGGTAGAAAATGCAATTTCATAAAGGGTAAATCTCAGAGGTCAGTCCCTTTCTTGGGATGCGACACGCATTCTACTTCCATTCAGAATCGTAGTGGCTTATTGAATGCGATGTGGCCTATACAATGACTTACGGGGTCAGCCGATGTGCGTCAGTGTTCTTATCCTCTCGCACAATCTGGTACTAATTCTTCGTCCCCTTGGTAGAAGGTTGGTTGGCCTGAGGGGAAGCCGATCCAGAATTTGACCCGGACCGCCTGCGTGGTGAGTGTGCCACTTGTCACCGCACTACCTCCGCCTCTGTGACTCATATTAGCATCACACTTTGGCAGCCACAAGTCAAAAATCACCCAAATGGTTTTCATTTGCAGAGGAATTGAGATGTGTGACATTGGTGACGATGGAGAACGAATCCCATTGCGTTCATTGCCGTGGAACCGAGTGACAAGGCTCTCATTTGATCGGAAAAAGCTGACCATCGTCGGTGCTGACACCACCAAAATGTGCTTATATGCTCAGAGTGAGAGCAAAGCTAGGTTTGTCCTTCAGTCTAGTCATTTATTTCTTCACAAAAAATTAGACAAGTTACAGGTACTTATTGGAATTGTGCCGAGCAGTACATCAGACGCTGTTGGTGCTTTCGCATCAAAATGGCAAAATCGCTCCGTTACCACAGCTGTTCCAAGAGAAAAGCGTCGACCGAGTCTCCACGTCGTCAAACAACACCACCATAGCCAACAACTGCGACAATGATAAAGGCAAGTCTGATTCACTCTCCTGCCCTCGATTCTTCTCTAAGTTCCTGCGCTTCAGACTCGGATTCCCTACTGCGCGACTCGCTGAGCAGTTCCGGTGATCGAGGGCAAGGGTCGGTATCGTCGAAACAACGAGTTCGCATAAAACTCGACTCGAACCTCGACTTGAAGATCGAAAAGATGGAACTAGAACGTGAGTTCTTTCTGCCATCTAATTTTTTTAACTAGACAATTGCTTGCATGCTTGCACAATTTTTTTGGTTTTCCGTTAACCTTCTTCCTCTATACCCGTAACCGGTAATTGAAGGAAACGAATGGGCGCTGCAACTATCTCGTTCCACTCATCCACCACGTTAATTCCCACTACTTTATGATGCCTTTTATTGATTTCCGCCATGGAACAGTAATCGACCAGAATGAGAGTTGTTAAAATCGATGACCGTCTTGGGATCCTCATAAATTCGGGGCTCACAGCACCCTATTAAGACAAATGCCCGCGGTAGCCAGTCACTGGTAGTGAAGTTCAAAAATGGAAGTGTGGGTGATTAGCGAAGTGATAGTGGAGACTAAGGCCGAGAACGCCCAACCCCCACCGGGACGAGTATCCCGTACCTCCTGAATTCATGCCGGAATATCGATGTGATCGCGCACTTCTGAGCTTCTTCTGGCTCATAATCGCATTCTCCAGCACTAGATCAACGCAAAAGAGAGGAAGCTGGGCCACAGCTTGTCCTTCCCTCACCCTTCTGAGGTCCCCCATCCCTCTGAGGCACCCAGGGATGTACCTAGGGATATCACCAAGGCTTTCGGTTTCACGAACTGTCCTTAGATAGTAACAATTAGTGCGATTCCCATCTCAACCTAGATATTACTCATGAAAAATTTAATTCCAAGAAGTGGTAAGAACCAACATCAATTACCCATGTACAAGGCACCTTCGACGAGCTTAAAGGCACGCTCCGCCATAAGGAGCGTCGGTGATGGCGGTGATATGTAAAAGGGAAGCTGCCAAGTGACTCGTCTGTGAGGAGAAGATGCCAAGGGGAATTTCGAAATCGTCTTCAGTGTGACCCCTCCAGCCTTAAACAATTGTGCGGGTGAAATGCCGAAATTGGGGCGACTCCAGTTGGCGGATTTCTTGTAATGAACCCTATGACCCCACAAGAGGCAATGTAGTATCCATTTCATGCTACTTGCCCTCGCTGGAACGCGGGTAATGAAGGCGGAGTCTGGAGGCGGAGTCATTGGAAAAAAGGGAGGACCCAGTGGAGCAATTTTACAGCATAACTACACCTTTTAACTTTCAGCCGCAGAACTGGCACAAGATTGTCCACTGCGAACCACACTATCCTCCCATAAGAGTCTTCTACATTTTCATAGGTCATCGCATAGCGTTCTTTCAATATCAGAGTTAGAATGTTCAACAGTGTGAAGCTTCGCTAGATCTCTGCGGGGTTTTGCAGCCCTTCAATGATTTGTTCCTTCCTCAGGGACTTACCATTTGCCCGATAAATTTGTTTTGTTGCTTTTTTACACTGCGATTTTTCACTTTACTTTGCAGTTTGAATGGTTTCACAGGGGTTTCGGGTTATGGGAGGACATCAAAGACCCTGAAACCTATATTCCACGCTGTTCATCTAGGCTGAGTCATGCGTGTAACATTGCTTTACTTACAATTAGCGCCCCTTCCTTCTGGTCGAAAGCGATCCGCCAATGAGGTGCGCACAACGTCACCTTGACTCCACCCATATGGTCACAATGGAATGTGCTCCGCACCAAGAATTGGATTATGTGCCGAGAAGTTGTGATTTTTCGGTCGTGCAAAAAGTCGGCATATTTAGTCCAGCAGCGGAAAACTTTCTGAAACTTAAGGCCTTGTTGTGACCCAACGATGACAGACTCTAGAGGGCTTAGTAAAGGGCTTTTTATTTGGAAGAGCAAATATGACGTCTGTCAGTTGGAACATAGTACATAGAAATTTCTTTAGAAGTAAGTGTTATGGTACCGTTGTTTGCAGATATTCGACAGGAACGTGCTGCCAGCCAGTCGAGCAAAACAAGTGACGCAAGCGATCAGGTTGAACGGAGGCTGACTACGGCTGAAGCTGATTCTAACGACACACCACACGATTTTATAGCACATCCTGTTGTGGAAGCCACAAATATGTACGTCAACTTCTGGTCGCCTTTTTCCCTTCTTAATCATTCGCATTCGAATGGTGCAGGTGAATCATGAATCAAATCATCCCCTGAATCTGTGATTCCGGTACAGAATTTCAAAGGGAGGAGAACAACAGAATAGTTGGGTACTGTTCGGTCTAGGAGGGGGAGGGAGAGAGGGACAGCTTCTCGCATTTCCGCCATTTTTTTAGATATACCTGTAAAATTACACGTATCAGCTTGGCAAGACCTGCAAACTGTTGTCAAGTGTAAGCGGAACTCGATTGCATAGCTTTACAGGAATTTACAGGCTTTACAGATAGGGTGCAGCATCGTGATGTGTGAAATGGTAGTGTCAGTACGACCCCCCTCCCTGAGAGAGGGTCTAGCTACGACCCCCCCCCCTTCCTGAAAGAGGGCCTCGGTACGACCCCCTTCGCGGTAAGACCCCCTCTCGGGACGACTCCCCTTTCCCAACACCTACCTACCACTTTCCTGCATGTTCCCACACCGCTTTTTCCGAAATTTCTCGAAAATTGTTGCCTTATTACAGTCAGCGGTCAGCTACTAGGAACGTATTGATTTCGAATTGACGACGATGGAGTCTTCCAGCGCCTACCAGCGTCCGCCAGCGTCGATCAGCGTCCAGGAGTACGGTATTGTGTTATGGTACGGTGCACACGCTACAATTTCACGACTCCTAATCCAGCTGTCTGTTCCCTCCTATTTCCCCATACTCCAGCAGCAGTCTGCTACCTTCCTATTCCTCATACTCTTACTACTGGACGCTGGTAGGCGCTACCATACCCTCCTAGCCCCTCGAGGCTGATGGTCGCTACCATACCCTCCTAGCCC